GAGTAATGGCACGAGCGTTAAGCTTTAAGCTCGCGGCCAGGATAGATAGCCAAGTTAAATACTGCAGTCGCGGTTATCCGATATTCCGACTATCTTCGCGGTAACTCGCACGGAATACTAATAAAATTTATCCAACGCGGTTAATATTGGCGGAGTACACCTAATATAGAGCTTCCAACCGCAGGAATTTATAACGCACAGCCGTTATATACCGTATGACCATGCCGATTGCTCGTGCATGGTCATACGGTATATAATTGATATAATCAAAAGTCCACAAATAGACTCATCCAAGACTCAATTCCGAACTCCGTAGATTTCTCCTCATTTTAGATGCGCCTCTTCGAAATTTCGCGAAATCATCTACGCATCCAACGCGATCCGTCCAATCGATGTGTCGCTACTCACTGATAATCCTGAAAAAGACGACAATGGTGAGAATGACGTTGTAGAGGAACCGACAGAACGAGTCCATGCTGGTCGGACGGCTGTCATGTTGGCGAAAAAGCTCGGCCCGATACTCCAAGAATACTCTCGCGAAATAATCGGCTAGAGACGACTTATCGACGAGTTATATATCGGCAAGCGCGCGAACAAACGTACGAAAACTCGGTACGGTAGCCGAATCTCTTCTTAGCCTCCTTTGTTCCTTCCTTCCTTCCTTCCTTTCTTCCATCCGTGGTTTTTCTATCTAATCTACGCTCTCGCTCGCGCCAATTACGCTATTGATTCGACCACCGTGAAGGCTAAAACTCCCCGCTTCCGAAAGGAGCTTCTTTTTGATCCGAGCGACTCGCGGCGAAACTGATTCCGCAGGTCGGGCTAAAAATACTTTTTCAGCAATCTCTTGTCCTACTTCCAACTCTCAATTTTACGCCTAAGAAATGAAAAGATGTAAATTTAAAATTCCTTCTTAAAATAAAAAAAAAATAAAAATAAAAAATCCTTCCTTTTTCCTAAATAAAACTATATAATAAAATATAATCGGATAATTTTGGCCCTTTTTATTTTGGTCGTAAAGTTTGGCTATTTGGAAAAAGGATATCTATCCATATCTAACGATGCTACAAATTCGCCGAGTGGCGAATTCGCGGATGTTTATTCAGTCCGCGTTCGATCGTCAATAAACACCATAGTTTCACGTTTATGGCAGACACAGTCGCGACGTAAATACCAATCGCGAATCTGCGATTCAAGATGCGAACGAGCAATGAACTCTCATCATCCGCGATACGTTTCATCATTCAAACAACGTTCGCAGGCGCGCAACGATCTTCCCTTTTATTTTTTTTTTTTTCGACGATCGTGTTAGCGCGCGCTCACAAAAAAAAAGCCTATTAACTTGTTGCACATGAAATGGCACTAAACGAGTTACGCGGTGCAAAATACGAACTTCCTTCGGGAGAATTAATAATGTCGAAAAAAAAAGTAGAGTTTAACTGATCAGTTATTTTAATAGATCATATTGACGCCCCACTCGTTTCGTTTGCGACAAAGCGCCGGGAGACGCTTCTTCCTCGCTGATCGGTCAAAGCTAAAATTAATGGCCTTGTTACATTGAATTTTTCTTTGTTCAACGTGGAGACAAAGAGGTAGCGTATGAACGTTATTTTATGCAGAATTAATCAGTTGATTAGAGAATAAATTCATATTTTTCACATCTTTTAACATTATCATTTACTTTCTGAAAATTACGATTGTTTGCGTAACGTCGAAGTGTATTTAATAAAATGTCACAAAGCCCGAAAGAGTTTTTCTACAATTCATTTCATTCAAAAAACTGTTTAATGAAGTAATTATTTTATGACGCGCCGTGCTCCAACACCGCACTGTTAATTGCGGTAATTAATAAAAGAACGCTCTGCGGAATTCATAATGGCAAGCAAAATAGTATGCGCGTTATACAAATTAAACACAACTGAAAGTTTAATTGTACGACATTCTATGAGTTACTATCATTTTAAGCTCGGTTACCAAATGAAATGTGGTTGTAGATTTACACGTACCGCCCACATGTTACATTTAAAAATAAACTCATAAAAACAAACTCATAAAATTCCATTTTTCACTACATCAATCTATGAAAAACATCATGTTTTTTCGCCCATACAGTATGAATTATGGCCGCAGGGCGCCGTCAATTAAACTTCTATTTACAAAAAACCGATGTGCGTTCCCTTTCTTCCTTTTCAAAAGTTCGTTAGCGTTCGACGAGGCTTGTAATTTGCAAGAAATCTGAAGGAAGGTCGCGTAAAGGAACAAAATCGAGTAGATGAAAAAGGAGCCGACAAATTCTCTGGCAACATTTCGCCTCGTTACGGATACAAGTGCGATGATTGCACTCCGTCGGTTGTATCTCGTTTCTATCGTGTAAAAATCCTGGCACGCGTGAGTCACGGGGCGGCAGGGGGCCGAGGAGGGGAGGGAGGCCTGAACGACGGGATGTGTTTTAAAGTTGGAGAGCACGTTCGACGCGCGCGAGAGGAGCCGAGCGAAAAGTATTAAGGCGACCGGCGGAAGAAGACTGAAAAATACTCTACGTGCTCGTTAAAATCTCATCTTAAAAAATCTCTCACGTGGCGCGGACCAGACGCGCGTTGTGTCTGAAGGTGGCGAGGAGAAAGGGGATGGAAATAAAAATTGGCCGCTCGGACGATGTTTAACGAGTTCCTCTCTCTCTCTTTCTCTCTCTCTCTCTCTCTTTTCTATTGCAAGCAGTCTCCTTTGGATATAAAATATCTCATCGAATATCTTTGAACTCTTGTCGCATGACTGCCTATCTTTGAAATACCACCTTCCTTCGCTGCAAGAAGCGAGAAGAGATAACGTAATGTGTAAGAAAATCCTATCCAAAACATTCGAGGATTTTTTTCTGCGACAACGACTACGTCTCGAAAATTTGGAATCTATGCGTGCATTTATCAAAAATAGAATTTAAATTGTACAAACGTCGGAGGATCGATTTACTTTTTTATATCGCGCTTTGAAAACTTGAAGAAGTTCGTACATTTCCAAGAAGAGATGGAGATTGGAGGACGAACGGAAAGGCGATTTGCTTGGGATCAAACGAATCGGCTGCGGACGAGAGATACGCAGGCTACCCGTTACAGACGTTACGGAGCGGCAGCGTAGCGCGTTTGCAGCCGTTGTTCTGCGAACATGTCTCGTTATTTCGCGTGGAATGAAGCAGTTTAAAGTTTGAACGCCTGTTGGGATCGTGGGAAGGGCTATGCGAACGAGACAATTAAGAGCGGCGAGGATAACGCAGAAATGCGGACGGTGTTCGAAGTTGCTTCACAGGACGTTCCGGAATTCATTCGCGAGAACGCATTCCATTCTGCCTGTGGATTTTACCTCGAACTAGATTAGGAAAACTTCGTGTAAATTTTATATCGTCGAGCGAGTATAACATCACGCGATGATCCCCAGTTATACCGTTGGTATGTGATAACAAAATTCGAAACGAATCTTCAATTCTGAATTCAATTACTGCTGTTATTATTTAATTATGAATAGAATAATTATAACGATAACTTAAATTAATATATATTTTGCTTAAAGTCGAAAGAGAAAAAGTCGAAAGAGAAAAATAAAATAGAGGTTTTCGAAGAGGGTTGAATCAAATCGGTACAGGCGGGGCGACAAATTGGCTGCGGGCAAAACTGCTCGCGTTCCAGTTCGCGATTGCTCCGAGTAAAAGTGCAATTGCAGCTGCA